AAGCCGCACTGCCGCGCCAAGGCACCTCTTATAGTGCGGTCCTAACTCTAAACTATGAGAGTCTCCATCTTGGAGCACATGGGGGCAGAACATAAAATTGGGTGCAGGTTTGTCAGGAGGACGCCCCGCCTCCTTAAAGGCACAGAGACGCACAAGGGATCCCTCACATCCCAATGGCAGCTGAGAACCCCCATGCGTCGCTGCACCAAATCGGTCAAGCAAAACAAATGACAAACGCACTCAACAATTTGTCACCAGTTGTACAGTGAGGTGCACACGAAATGGGCTTAAAACAGTAGACAGTAGAAAGGCATCATGGCACACTCACAAGTCAGCATGTAAAAAAATTTGTCTCAGCTGCCATTGGGATGTGCGGGATCCCTTGTGTGTTCCTGTGCCTTTAAGGAGGTGGGGCGTCCTCCTGACAAACCTGCACCCAATTTGATATCTTCTGCCCCATGTGCTCCAAGATGGAGACTCTCATAGTTTAGAGTTAGGACCGCACTATAAGAGGTGCCTTGGCGCGGCTGTGCGGCTTTCACATTTTCTGCAGAAGACGTGTATCCAAACCTCTGTTATTATCCTTAGTGGTGAGAAGTTGTTTTACATGCTGGCTGGTGAGTGTGCCATGATGCCTTTCTACTGCATAAAGAGGACCTGTCGCATCTTTTGCTGTCACATAGGGGGGTTTCTTAGCCCCCTATGTGATAACAATAAAGTTAAGTGAAGACAAAAAAAATGAAAGTTACACATGAAAAAGAATTTAAAAAAATACAAAAAATGTTTTTAAAGCCCCCACCCATACATACACGCGTGCAAACATGCGTCGGGTGCGCATACGTGCGAAAATGACTATTGCGCCCATTACGCCGCACATGTTACATATCGCCGCGAACGTCGCAGTGAGAGCAATAATTCTCGGCCCATCAATCACCGATGACACTAAACTGATGAGCGGTAAAAGCTTTGAAAGCGTCGCCTATGGCCAATTTCGGGTATGGTAGGTTTTTGGGATTTCGCAGGTGCGCGCAATTTTAAAGCTCGACATGTTTGGTGTCTATTTACCCCGACGTAACCCCGTCTTTTTTATATTTTACCCAAAAATTGGGTAATAATAAATGTTTTATAACATAATGTGGTTAAAGGAGAACTATGGGGTTAGGGCTTTTCCCCATAGTTCTCCTAAGGGTAACAGGATGGCACAAACTAGCGTCCCCCCGTTACCCTAATGACCAGGTTCCTCCGTATGAGTCCTAACCTGCCGTTGGTGATCCAGGAGGGGGCGGTGGTCTACGCCCGCGGGTCCTGTGCAGGGCAGAAGGAGGCGGACTTGTTGAAGAGCCTTCTGTCTGATTGTGGAATGTGTGAGGAGACCCCGGAGAGCTACATCGATATCCACACCGGGCTCAGCGGCAGCGGGGTGGCCTATGTGAGTGGTCAGAAGCTTGTGCGAGATGGGTCAGGGGGCCGCCAGGGCCACTTTGTTTCCTTTCAGGATCGGGGATTCAACCGACTGGCCATCTACCCGGGCTGTGTCATTGTTCAGCGCGGCTGTTGTGCATATGTCAAAATGTCAGTCTGGAGGAATGGGCCAACCCTAGGCAACACCTACATGTGATACTGAGCTTCCATGATTGACAGAACCGAAATCCAATGAATGATGGGGGTGGGCCGGGGACAGTCCAGCTGGGGTGGAAAAGGCTTGGTAAGGGATAGGAAACCTTGGCAACTCACAGCTGCAGTGCAAAGGTTGCCTACTCTTGGTGTAGACCAGTGGTTCTCAACCTGTGCAACCTCACGACCCACATCTGTCCACGGTCATTAAGTCACGACCCAAGTCGCACTGCAATGGAACGCACGGCATTGCGGTACTGCACGCTCTGGTGTGGGCGGGAGGTGCATTTGGGGTGCCATTCGAATGAATCGCAACGCACCTCCCGAACCAGAACGCGTAGTAGGTGCGATTGCGCGGTACAGTGCGTTAATGGCAAAGGACTGTTCGATCAACGCACTGTACTAGTGTGAACGGGCCCTCCAAAAATACTGACGGACACATATACAGACTCTTTTTTTAAGATCCACCCAGTCTCCTACCTTATGAGAACTGGAGTGGATCCTCAGGCTGGGGTCCAGTGTGGGCTGCTGTGCTGTGATGGAGCTCCATCCATACGTACGTTGCTTGTACAGCTCCCTTGTGTGCCCTGTTGAGGTGCCGGGAGCCAGCGTGTGATGTCACTCCGGTCCAGGCACCTTTTACAGGACATGTGAGTGAGCTGTAAGCAATGCACGTATGGATGGAGCTCCCTCGCAGCCATAGCTCCACCTCAAGCTGACACCCGGAGCCGGGCAGCATATTTTGGATGGCTGCTTGGAGCAAAAACTGACAGTGCTGCGATAGGGGGAGGCTGAGGAGCCTCTCACCATTAAAGTGGAAGGCATGCGGCGACCCACTGAACACGGGGTCCCGACCCACTTTTCGGTCACAACCCACCAGATGAGAACCACTCGTCTAGAGCAGTGGTTCTCAACCTGTGTAACCTCAGGACCCACATTTGTCCTCGGTCATTAAGTTGCGATCCAATTTGCACTGCAATGGAACGCACGGCATTGCGGGCTGCTGTGCTGTGACGGAGCTCCATCCATACGTGCATTGTTGGTAGAGCTCCCATGTGCCAGAATGTGACGTCACTCCAGTTTAGGCACCGCTACAGGACATGTGAGGGGGCTATAAGCAATGCAGGTATGGATAGAGATGCCTTGCGGCCATAGCCCCAGCCCACCCCACCTCGAGTTGACGCCGGGCAGCATATTTTGAATGGCTGCTCAGTGTGAGAAGTGACAGTGCTGCGCTATGGGGGAGGCTGATGAGCCTCTCACCTAGAAAAGTGGAAGGCATGCGGTGACCCAATGAATACGGGGTCGTGACCAAAAAGTTGAGAACCAAGGATCTAGATGATGCTGGACGCCCCTCAGCCAGGAAATGAAGCGGGCTCTATGTGACTTGCTGCAGCTTCTGATGATGCCTGGCACAGTGTTCCAGGTTTTGGGGTGCTTGTGTCTTCTGTAGCCGGCTGCTGTAACCCTGAGATTTGCTGCATTAATAAGTATGGCGTCCATCACTCGACTTTCTCACCATTCCCGTCTTCTGTTTCCAGGTTTACCTGTTTGCGGAGGCTCTGGCGGACGGCGCTGTTAAGATGGGGATGCCGAGCGCCTTGGCTAGTCGCATTGCAGCCCAGACCTTGCTGGTGGGTATAAAATCCATGTTTCATTCAGAATCTGGTGTCGGGGAGAGAGGAACGTGGCCCGGGATGAGGGGGAATGACTTGTGGAATAGTTGTCACTGGATCAGGTGTCCCGATTGGGAGATCTTCCCTCGCCGGCGACGGCTAAAGCTTGGGTTCCCCCGCAACTGTCAGGAAGTGAGACCGAATCTCCTCCACAATGGATACCCCCAACGATCAGAACAGCCAGAGGCTTCCACCCGTCCTCACTGTACACCTACAACTGGTGACGCTGTTCTGTACTGGGGGCACGCTCCTTGCGCACTGCCAACAGTCCCCGATCATACAGTGAGAATTGGGAGTCGGTGTAATAGACTCCCAGTCACATGATTACCATGACAGCCAATCACAGTGATCACATGACACATGCATGCTTTATCACTTTATCCCTGCAAGCCCCAAGACATAGGGGTCTCCCTAGAAGGCAGTCTTTATGCAATTTTATTCATCATCAGGCTCCACCCACTTTCAGAGCTCTTGTTTTTTTTGTATTACAATTGGCGTAATAGCCGATTCGCTCGCGCTTGACAAGTCTCTTCGCTTCTATTAATCCAGGGCGCCGCAAAGATGATCATACAAAGCGGAGAGCACCCCGCCAAGCTACGCTCAGATGTCTGCACTCCCGGAGGCACCACCATACACGGACTCCATGAACTGGAGAAGGGGGCCCTGAGGGCCACAGTAATAAACGCCGTGGAAGCTGCAACAAAGCGGGCACGTGACCTGGACAAACGCTGACCGCTCTACGGAGTGACATTCAGAGCTGTCCACACGGGGGACCATTCCATTTCATCATCGGCTGCACCGCTGTGACTAGGATACGGATGTGGGAGGGGCATTACAGTAGCTGCAGAACAAGAACAGCAATGTGTACCTCGGGGGAGGATCCATCACTCACATTCTTGGAGCTAACCAATCACAGGAGGGCCTAATTGGGACTTTTCTCTTTCTAGCAAAAAAAACAGAAACATACATCATAGAACTTCAATGTTCTTGTCCATATTGTGGTCCTATAAAAGTTCTGCCACTGGGGGAGACACATGACAAACGTGCAATCAAGCTTACCCAGAGGGTTACACCGCTCTTCTTAAAGGTGCAGTAACAAAAATGACATCTAGACTGTTTTTCTCGACATTCCCTCGTTCATATGGTCGTATCAGCAGTGGTGTGTTCTGTTCTAGAATAATGTTACCGAATATTAAAGCTTTGCTTTCAAATGTGTCATGTGATTTATTCTTATTATGGGTGATCGTTATAAAAGTAAGCAAAATGCTTTCCCATCCAATATACTTTTATTTATTTTTAACTTTTGTATAATTTTATATTTCTTTTGTCATCTCTGTGTTTACTGATTACCCGATTTACCAGGGAAGCCATCCCCATGCTTCTCGTCACTAAGTGACTCGCTGCCCGGCTTCCTGATTGGTCGGGAAGCTGGCTCCATGCTCCCTCGTCACAATCCGAAAGCCGGGCAGTGTGTAATGATTTTGAGTTTACAATTGGTAATCAATCAGTAAGCTTGACAGGCAGACCCTAAGTATAGTTTGAAACAGTTGTTAGGAATGCTCAAAGAAGACTTGGCCTTTACAATGGGATTGAAGAGTAAAACACATTACTCGGGACATAGACTATGATGCCCAAACTGGGATTGAAGGAACACATGACTCAGGACATAGAGTTTGGAACGCTTTTATGCTGATTTGTGTGACTTTTAAGGTTATTTTAAAGTAAAAGCATGTATATAAAGACAGGGGGATGATCCTTCAAAAGACACACACACACATACAGACACGCCCACACACCTTCACATTGGAGACAGAAACACCTGTTAGGACTATTTTACTTACTAACTTAAGACACGTTTCTTAAAGGAGAACTATGAGGGAGGGAGGGGGGGTGCTTTTCACTCACCTCATAGTTCTAGCCGACCTGTGACAATGAGACTGTCACAGGTCGGCTCAGTAGATCGGGAGGTGAGGGAACACATACCGGCGTTCGCTCACCTCTCGATCCTGTCACGGCTCTCTGCCATGACAGGGGAGGGGCTGGATTCCCCCCGCTCCGATCCGCCAGCGCTGACTGGCGGAGGGGGCGGGTACAGCTGGCTCTGCCTCTAGATAGGCAGAGCCAGCTGTCAGTCATGCAGCTGGGCGGATCCCGGCATAATTGTCGGGATCCGCTTCAGCTGCGGCGTCTCAGTATACCGCGAGCAGCAGCTTGCGGTATACTGAGCTTAGGGTGACGGGAGGACGCTAGTTTGTGTCCTCCTGTTACCCTAAGGAGAACTATGGGGAAAAGCCCTAACCCCATAGTTCTCATTTAAGCATCTTATAGACTTCTGCTGTTAGATATACTATATTTTGTAACCATCAAGCATCCTATAGACTCATTCTGTAAGATATACCATATCCTGTAATATTATGTAACTTTGCAATTAAAACAAATTTTTGAATGTTATGCAACAACGAACGCAATCATCTATTATTGAACTTTTCCCACCCTATGCTTCAAGAAAAGGAATATTAAAAAAAAAATCACATTTCTAACAGGAACCTTATCCCATTTCTACACACGAGTGCATGTGACATCATCAAAAGGATATATTTATCATTTGGAATGATTGATTTAAGTAATCAAACAATCCTATTGAATTTCATATTCACAAATGTATTTTCCACGTACACAACAATACGGACATGGCGAACCATTATGTGCACAGTAAACCTTTATTGAAGTGCAAATATGCATCGAGGAATTAGGATGGTACCGTACAGGGGCACTTTAAGCACAATATGTGAACTGCTATCCCGAGAAACATTTCCTCCTAAAACTGCAAATATCACGTACGTGCAGCAATGCAGAAGTCACATCTAAGGCAGCAATGGGACATCAAACACAAAACAAGTCCAACCTCAGGCACGTCACCAGACTACTACTGAGAGCTCCACAGAACTGAAGATGTTACTTATGGATGAAGTCCAGTTCACCAAAAATGACATTTTTGTCTTATGAGAAGAGGCCAAAATCAAAAAACTGCTTTTCCATAAATGTCCCTGTTTACCGTGGATGGGGATTGTGAAAGAGTGGTTTAGGGAGCATGAGCCATCATTGCCACACATGGATTGGCCACCACAGAGTCCAGACCTTAAAGTGACATTAAACCCTCAGATTTTTTAACATAAACCAATACTGTAATGTGCGCCTTACTGTAATCCATGGTTGTTTCCCTTCTCTTTGCTGCTCTTCCTTTTAAATCCTCATGTCTTCTCATGCTGGGGGAGAACTTCCCTTTTCAGCTCAGGGCCTCTTCCTGTAGTGCTGGCTCAGGTTGTGAACCTACACACAGACACCGTGTATCCATTCCTGAGACAAGGCAGTCTGCTGCAAAACAGAAGTTCTCCCCCAGCATGAGAACAGATACAGATTTATAAGGAAGAGCAGCAAAGAGAAGGGAAACAACCATGCATTACAGTAAGGCGCACATTACAGTATTGGTTTATGTTAACAAATCTGAGGGTTTAATGTCACTTTAACCCCATTGAGAATCTTCGGGATGTGCTGGAGAAGACATTACACAGGGCTCCGACTCTCCCATCATCACCACAAGATCTTGGTGAAAGATGAATGCAACTCTGGACTGATATAAAGATTGTGACATTGTATAAGTTTATTGAAACGAAACCACAGCAAATACGTGCCGTAATCTAAAGGCGGTCCAAAGTAGAGGGTGTGACTTTTGGCCAGGCTGTGCATAGCAAAGAGCTTTCATTGGCATGTTAAACAGACCACAAGGGGAGAAAATAATGGAAGTTCATTGTTAGGGTTTCAGCAGGGGAAAGCTTGGGTATAACCTTACCAGTGTGCTGCTGTGCACGTACCGACCAATCAGCTGACTGGAGAATGGAAGGTGTATTTCATGAATGTAACCCTGATATGCGCTGCCTTAACGCAACACACATTAATGGGCAACATACTACACACTACTGCAGCACAATTGGTCATATGCCAAAGTTTTGCACCAAGGATCCCATGCTAAAAATCACTACTCATCTCTCAAACTGGTTTCTCCTGCTCTGAGAAAGCCTCTTACAATTGCAGCAGCTCTCCTCTGTCTAGTAAGCATCCAATATGACTTACTGGGGTGCGGAAACCTGGAGGAAGAAGGGGTAGCTCTGAGTCCTCTTCAAATACCAATGTAAATCGATGGGGGAGCCCTCCGCACACCTTGCAGAAGTCCCGGCCAACAAGAAAGATGGTGCTCGTAGTGATAACCACGGATGGCGCCGTGCAAACACAGAACAAAAAAGCATATCACCAGCACTCAGTAATAAAGTTGAATATGTCCCTTTAATTGGACAAAGACGTCACAGTGATCAGAAAAGCCGACGTTTCGGGACCGCGCAGGGTCCCTTCCTCAAGGCAGAAAGACGTGACAATATAGTAACATACATACGTAACATACGCAACATACATACTATATGTATGTATGTTACAATATTGTCACGTCTTTCTGCCTTGAGGAAGGGACCCTGCGCGGTCCCGAAACGTCGGCTTTTCTGATCACTGTGACGTCTTTGTCCAATTAAAGGGACATATTCAACTTTATTACTGAGTGCTGGTGATATGCTTTTTTTTGGCTCTTCAAATACCAGACTTTAATCTTTGACTTTCTTAACTGCACTTTTGGCCAGTTCATGAAACAGAAGCACAGCCTGCTGTAAACTGTTTAACTTTGGTTTGTAACTGTGTCTGCTGGAGCCGCCGGGCCGTGGTTAATAGTGACCTCAACTGTACGATTTTGAGCAGGCCCACATCTTCAAAGTCCTGAGCTTCCAACCAACGCAGAGCAGTCTCCAGCCCTTGAATGGCCTCGGCTGCAGATGGAAAGAGGAGACCTTTCCTCTCTTCTTTGTTGGCATCTTCTCCCAAGCTGTCGCTGGCACCAGTTAACGTTGCCAACTCACCCGTGCCTCTGTCCTCCGAGGATTCCTCCATCACTGGGATGGAATCATCTAAATGCACCCACTCCTCAATCTCTTCCGAATCCAAACCTTTGAAGGCCAAAGCAGCTAAGTTGGTCAAGTCCAAAAAGACTTTGCCGTACTCTTCTCCCAATGTCTCCGCAATGGCACCATTCTGAAAAGCAGCCTTTTGGCCATAAAGCCAGCATTTTTCAATATGGCCTGCATGTATCATGCACCATGCCTGGCCTACCAGGTAGATCACGTCTGTGAGGAAAAAAGACTTTTCAAAGTCAGCAGTGGTATCACAAGACACGACGAGTCTCAGAAGCTCCCGTTTGTAAAGCTGCTTGAAGGACGACATGACCCCCTGGTCCATTGATGGGCTTTTATTTCTTGTATTCTTGGAAAGGAACACAACTCGGATGTTGCCATCTGGGGTCTGAAGCTCCTCCTCGGGGGGTTTTGCTGGACACTTGTTAACAAGCAAAACAGCTTTTTGTTGTAGGCAGCATCTCCTTAAATAACATTTGACACCGGGAACAAATTCCTCAAAGAACCACTCCCTCAGCAGTTCTGGGGTCACCCAGGCATGCTTGTTGCGTTTGTAGGCTACAGGAAACTTGTCCTGATTATGGTGACGAAGAGTTGGTGGATCTTTGAGATTCCCAACTACCAAAGGTCTCAACTTGTGGTTACCAGTGTGGTTGGCTGCTAAGAGAACGACCACGTGGTCCTTTTCCCTTCTGTATCCATTTGGCTGCTTAGCGATTGCCATCTCATGGGTTTGGTTTGGAAGAATTTTCCAGTATAGTCCAGCAATGTTGGCATTGTATATTTGCTCATCTACATAGCCTCCTTCACAGGATGAAGCTTTGTCCTCCTCTGGGAACACCATAACTGGGTCACTATCAATCACCTTGGCCTCCATTTCACTGTAGATCTGCTGACTAGAAATACCATGCCTTTTCTGCCAGCGCCAAAACCAGCCGTGGCTGGCTTTGAAAGAGCATTCCCCTCCGTAAATCTGCTTGGCAAATGTCTCGGCCTGGGCCTGGATGATGGGCCCAGAGAGGGGAATGCCCTGTTGGCGCAAAGTAAGGAACCAGGAATAGACGGCTCTATCGATCTCTTCTTCGTTGGCCAAGCGCATCTTCTTCCTCTGCGTGCCGACGTCGCCACCCAGCTGGTCCAGGAACCACCTGAGCTTCTGCTCGTCCTTCAGCCACCCCCGCAGGGTCCCCCCTGGCACCCCAAAATCCCTCGACACGCTAGCCTGGCGCTCCCCATTCCTGACTCCCTCTATTGCTTTCAGCTTGTCTTTGATGGAGTACGCCTTGCGATATGCCATCTTCACCGTGGTAGGCGTGCATACTATACCCCCCAGCCGTGTCTTCAGGATCTGCTGCCCTGGGCATGACATACTGGAGGGAGTCTGATTCGCATAGGCCCTATAGCCTGGCATGGAACCCAGGCAACCTCAGACAGTCCACAGGCGGTGTGCCAGCTTGGCACCGTCTTTCTATATATGTAATGGTGCCAGGTGGTGGACATGCCACCCTGGCATTGCGGTGGTAGGCGTGCCAGTCAGCTGTGTTTGCATACAACTGTTTCCCTTTTGTTTCCTGTCAGAAAATTGCTTTCCCCCTCCACTCCAGACAACTCTGTGCTTGTGCTGCCACGCATGCGCACTGCCTTCCACCACTTCTGCGGATGCGTCAAGCTTCTGGCAGCCAGCTCACGTTCTGCTTGGAGCATGCGCACTGATCTCTTCACATCGCGGACTGTACCATCCACCCATTTGGGGGAACCAAAAAAACAACCAAAACGCCATTATAAAGGCAGAAACGGCGAAGGGATAAGTGTTTAGCGATCGCTGTGCTTAGCTGACGGTGGTTTATACAGTGAACGCTGCTCGGTTTTCCCTTCTCGCTGTGTTATCCCCCCCCGGGCTGTGTGGTACGGTCCAGCCGCAGCTGTCTCTCGGAGCTGGTCACGTGTCTCGCTCCTTCCCTCCCGCTTTCTCTCCTGACACGGCAGCGGCTTCAGCGTGAGTACCGGGCCCGGGGTGGGTTCGGTTAGGTCCTGGACAGAGGCATTTCGGGACACACCGGGGTATGCGATAGGCATTTCGGGGGTCGGGGATCCCGTGTGTGCTGTCAGTACCGGGGAGACTCTCTGTGTGCAGAGCCATGAGGGGGAATAATGGAGGAGGAGGTGGCGGCGGCCTGTCAGGGAGCTTTGAATGCAGGAATGTCACATCGGAGTGTATGAGAGGAGGAGGGGGGTAATATCACACCGGGGTATGTGTGAGGAGGAGGGGGGTAATATCACACCGGGGTATGTGTGAGGAGGAGGGGGGTAATAACACACCGGGGTATGTGTGAGGAGGATTGGGGTAATAACACACCGGGGTATGTGTGAGGAGGATTGGGGTAATAACACACCGGGGTATTTAACATTGATAGACATATTTGGGACTATGGCGGGGGAGCGATGATGAGGACTCATTCCCGTGTCTGTCATCCTGAACAATCTTCTCCCCTCTTCTCTGCTCTCTTCAGTATCACATTAGAAGTGTTTTATGTTCCATGAAAGCAAAAAATACCCGCTGATCCCGCTAGAAATCCAGTGATCTGGCGTGAACCGAACCCATCCGTCACCAGGCAGATTCCCAGATACACATACCGGCGTTCGCTCACCTCTCGTTGAGATTCAGGAGATCTCCACAAAACAGCTTTTTTTTTATTTTATTTTTTTGGACAAGCAACATCTCTCAGCTCTGCGCATGTGAGATCTGCCGCAGATGTCAGTGGTGTCTGCAAGTCCAAATGGTGGCACGGGGTTGTAGAAGGAGGAGGAGAAGGTGTATTAGCATGTGGCAACATAGAAACAAAGGTGGCAAATAACAAGAATTGTGTTTTGTTATACAATAGTTACCAAGTGGCAGCGTGAGGTGACGGTTTCATTGAAGAAACTCGCCGTGTCGGGTTGACGTTCAGCCTGCGCTGATGTGCGATGGCTGACTCGCTATCGGGTTCTTCATTTAGAATCTTTTATTGATCTGGATACGGAGAAGAATACAGCAAATGTGCATTGTGTGCTGCAGTGTCCGGGTTCACACGCAGTGTCTGTCCTCCATGCTAATCCTGTCTGCTCTCTAGCTTTCTCAGCACTTCATGGGTGCTTAAAGGAGAGTGAAAATCACTCCTCATAGGTCCAGCTGACTAGATCGGCAAGTGAGAGAGCACATACCGTCGTTCGCTCACTTCTCGATCGTCTCCCTGCAGAGAGCGGTGACTGTCCGTCATGGCTCTATGCAGGGATTCTACCCCTCACCGCTCTGAGGAACGAAGGGGGCGGGTACAGCTGGCTCTGCCTCTAGATAGGCGGAGTCAGCTGTCACCCACGCAGCTGGGTGGATCTCGACAGCATTGTCGGGATCTATCCTGGCTGCGGCGGTCTCGGTATGCCGGGAGCTGTAGCTCACTATATACCGAGCTTTGGGTCACGGGAGGACGCTAGTTTATGTCCTCCTGTGACCCTTTAAAAGAGAATTGGGGAAAAACACTGACCCCCCATAGTTCTCTTTTAAAGGGTCAGGGGCGCCTTGCTTGCGCGCAAGGGGGTCAGGGGCGCCTTGCGGGCGTGCAAAGCCCAAGTAACGAATGACTGCCATGAAATGTTTAACAAATCTAGAAATAATCATTGGGTAAGGACTAGGGCTGCAACAACTAATCGACATAATCGATTATTGAAAAAGTTGTCAACTTTTTCAATAATCGATTAATCGGCTTCCGATCAGTTGGCCCTGTTCACGGCTCCACACACGCTGCGCGCCGCACCTCCTCCCCACCTCGTGCTCGCCGCTGCCAGACCCGCCCGCCCGCATCCACACTCTTCACGCCGCATTTGTTGTATCCCCCTATAGCTGGTGATATTCTGCACTACAAATCCCAGCAATAATACATTATACAGCGCAATGCAGAATACTGCCAGCTATAATGTACTGTTGCTGGGATTTGTAGTCCTCTATAGCCGGTGCCATTCTGCATTCATTGCTGTATAAATTTACACTTTCCTTTTCACTATATTGTACACCACACTATTTTTTTCCACCGCTCCAAGCTTGCTCCTGTGATGGACTACAATCTCAATACAAACTAGTAGTCTCATCACTGGAGCCATTTTTTTTTTTTTTTAAATTGTTTATCCGATTAATCGAACTTAATCGGCTAACTAATCGATTTTGAAAATAAGGCTAACTAATCGATTTTGAAAATAATTGTTAGCTGCGGCTCTAGTAAGGACACGGCTACATTGTAACTGAGTTGATACTGTTGTCACTTGTACTATAGAACTGAGCTGAATTATAGTTACCTCTTCAACTCTGCTCTGCCACCCTGAACTTTGACACTTTGTTTCCCCCTCAAGTGATTTTTTTGCATGGCGGGTGGACCTCCCGGTCGTGTTCTTTTTCTTTCACTGAAACAATGTACTAAAAGCTGGAATGAGTGTTGGGTGCGGTGTGCTTTATTCTAACTGGCTTGCTTTTCTCTCTTCAATGCTGACTCAGGTTTTCCCTACTCCTGTGGTGCATAGTGAGTATGCTGTACACGGTGTCTGTCCCACCTGCATGTATGCATGCCTAGATAACGTACTGCATGTTCTCTTCCATCATCTCCTCCAATCATCCATCCGGTGACCAGCAGACAGATGTGTGCAAACTCTATTCTAATTCTATAGCTTGACGTTCTGCAGCTGATTAAAGTGACACTGAACTCAGGAGATACATTTTAACAATCCATACAGGTCCCTGAACTCTGACCCCATTGTCTCTTATTTGTGTATCACTGGGCTGTAGATCCTCCAATCATCTCTGACACTGTCCTTCCTTCTGGAGGGGGGCTACGTCTGTTTGCCATAATCCCTGTGTGTGTTGTAAAGTAGTCACCGCTCCAAGCTCGCTCCCGGGATGGACTACAATCTCAATACAAATGTGTAAATTAACCTGAGATTGTAGCCCATCATCGGAGCAAGCTTGGATCAGTGGTTACTTTACAACACACACAGGGACCATGGGGAACCAAAGTAGTCACCGCTCCAAGCTCTCTCCCATGATGGACTACAATCTCGGTACAAATGAATAAACTAAACATGAGATTGTAGTCCATCCCGGGAGCGAGCTTGGAGTGGTGACTACTTTACAACACACCACATGGATCATGGGGAAGAGACGTAGCCACGCTCCAGAAGGAAAGACAGTGTCGGCACCAATTCAGAGGTGATTGGAGGATCTACAGCCGAGTGATACACAAATAAGATACATTGTTGTTCATAGTTAAGGGACTTGAATATGTTTTTAAGATTTAAAGGAGAACTATGAGGTGAGTGATTTTCACTCGACATCATAGTTCGAGCTGACCTGTGACAATGAAACTGTCACAGGTCGGCTCTATAGATGGGAAAGTGAGCGAAGGCATACTGTCGCTCACTCTCTTTCCGATTATCTCCCTGCAGAGATCAGGGACTGTCACCGCTCCCCGCAGGGATTCCCCCCCCCCTCTCGGATCCTCCAGCGCTGACTGGAGAAACGGACGGGGGAGGGGGCGGACACGGCTGGCTCTGCCTCTAGATAGGCAGAGCCAGCTGTCACTCACGCAGCTGGGTGGATCTCGACAACATTGTCGGGATCCGTCCTGGCTGCGGCGATCTCGGTATATAGCGAGCAATAGCGCACTATATACTGAGCTTTGGGTCACAGGAGGAGGTTAGGATATGTCCTCCCGAGACCCTGAAGAGAATTATGGGATGAAAAGGTTACCCCATAGTTGTTTTTTTAACTTCAGTGCTTACAATCTTGTCTCTACCACAGTCAAAACGCATCCTGATTCTAATTTCCATGTAATGGACCTTTCCTTTTCCGGTGGGAGGGAATTGGAGGAAACCCACAGCAGCGCCAACGAATGGCCTTTTTCGTAGGGCAGGGGGAGGCAAACTCGGCCCTACAGATGTTGTGGAGCTAGCATGAGCTATTGCAAGACTGACGGCTACAGGCATGACTCCCTGAGGCAGGGGCATGATTTGTATTTGCAGTTTCCGCATAGCTGGAGTGCCGAGGTTGTCTACCCCTGGCGTGGAGCCTTGATCTAAATTAAAGCTAGGCCCCCTGCGATGCAGGAGAGGGCTAACCAGAAGATTACAACGGTATAACAAGACATGGGAGCATTAGTATGGTTGGCATTGAGCAGTAATTATTCCCTGTTTGTAATTCATGTTTTTGATAGACGTTAGCAGAAAGGATGGTTGGTCTTTTAGCCTGACCATTGAGTTAAATATTTTGCTGCTACGGGTGCTCCTCCGGGTTACGATCTTGCAACTTTACGATGGAGTTTACTATTCAGTGAACTCCCAGTCAATCGGCACACACTGATCGGTAGTTGTCGGATAATTGTAGTTTCTGGTTGTTTAAGAGTTAATAGTAACTCTCCAGCAACCAGCCCTGAGGTGCTCCACTTCCCCATTCACCTGTCGGGTGAATGTAAACAGCCGGGATTAATAGCAACAAAGTCCAAATCCCATTCGCACTGCCACGGTCTCAAAACCACAAGGTATATGTGGTGCCCAGGTGACCACACGGATGGCGCCGTGCAAAACACTAATGGTAAATAAAAGGCTACAGCACCGTATGACAGTATGTGACATTGGCTATTGAATAAACGTATCAATACTTTAAAAACCCTTCAAGTGTGTGCCGGTGAATTACTTTTATTGGGATTAATAGCAAGACTGCTATTGGCCATTTCAATAGTAGGCTGGCTATCGCACCCGCCCACTGAGGAGAGGAGCAGACCTGAGACCTCTTTCGCTCTCGGGTCCACACCTCTTGGTGGATTTTCCGGAACGTAACCCGTGGAGTGTCTGTAATTGTCGGCTTCTGGTCACTAATTGCAGCCTGTGAACTAGACAATGGAGCCACGAATGGGTCGGAGCATTGAGGATAACTACGTACTCGTTAAGCTTTTCCAAACTCTCTAACTTCCGTCTGAGAAATGCACAATGTCTGCTTAGCATCTGTCTGTCTGTGTATTGTTGATCCGTAGATCCTCCGTGTTGTGTCCTTCCCATTGCATGCAACACAGTATTCCTCATCCTCCAATCTGCAATTGCACAACCTGAAAGGGATTTAGTATTTTGGGTTTTTGGTGTGCTTAAAGTGACCCTGTCTCTATCCTGGGTAGGTTCAAGTGAAAGCAAACTGTTAAAAAATATAAAAAGCCCTGTGGAGGTGCTTGCCACATAAAATTGGTACCGTATTTGCCGGCGTATAAGACGAGTATAGCCCAAAATAATGTTTAAATGCACTTACTAACATCCATGGCGGTATTCCCGAGTGTTGCTCGGGGTTAATTTTCAGTACCATAAGTGGTAACCCCGAGCCACACTCGGGATTAGTCTCTTACCTTGTCCACGATCCCCGCTGTGTCCTCCGTCTTCAGGTGCCCATACACTGTGCGATTAACGCGGGAAATCGCGCGATCGTATGATAATCGCACATTGTATGGAAGGCGTGTGACCTTTTGTCTTGGGAGCATGCTAGAAAACAAGCCGAGAATCGTATGATTTTCGGCTGGTTTTTAGCATGATCGTAAGATCAATACCGCACGGACCGGTGAGCGCACACTGCCCGTTCAGCATTGCGGTCATCGGAAGCCCGCCCCTCAGGAGGCGTGCTTGCGATGATCGCAAGTACGATCTGCCTGTCCAAGATGGGCAGATCGTACGTTTTTTTTCATTACTTTACAACCATCGCAAGACTAAGGTCTTGCGATGGTTGTAAAGTGTATGGCCAACTTTCTGCTGAGCCAATCACGGCAGGCTTTGTATTAATGAATACAGGCTTTGTATTAATACAAAGCCTGCCGTGATTGGCTCAGCGCTGTATACTGTATGTAGCCAAAGCTACATACAGTATACCGTATCCTTCCGTATGTACATGATGTTATAAGGTCTCAAAACCCGTCTTATACACCGGCAAATACGGTATGTTATGGACGACTTACCTTGTAGGTGATCCCCCTCCAGCAATGAGCTTTCTGCTCTCCCCTCCAGCTCTGGCGCTTACATCTTCAGCAGTTTCCAGGTTAAGGCCCGGTGCAGACCTGAGTGATCCGGGATCGCGTGGTCCTGCACAATGCGGACAGATTGCCGCACGGCCCCATTGATTTCAATGGGGTGGCAATCCGCAGGAAAAAGGCACATGATACTTTTTTTGCGATACACGGCGCCCGGCTGTTTTAGCCGCAATCATGTTCGGGTGCATGGACGGAATCGCTGCGGAAAACTGCGAGATCCACCTGGCGTAACTGGGGTGCCATTAGAAAATGATGGCACCCACAGCGCGACCGCTTGTGCGGAGTGACTCCATGACTGTGCGGTACCGTGCATGATTGCCACGCGGTCAGGAGTCGCTTAGGTTGAGAGATGAGGCTTGCACAGTATCTTCTGTCATAAGTCTGTAAGCAAACCAAATTTCCCCGAAACTTCACTTCCACTTTAAGATGTTCTATAAATCTATTGGCAGTGCAATTGTTGTGGAAGTCTGCTATAATTGGGTGGTGTGCTGCAGATAGATGTTCTGCTCCTCCTTCCGGAAGTGTCAGAGGCTCTGCGTTCTACCTTGGAGCTGCAGATTCTCCTTCCGGCCCTGATGTCACTTGTGCTGTCTGCACCTTGTCCGCTTTATGTGATCAGTGTAGACCAGGGATAGCTGAACTTCGGCCTTCCAGCTGTTGTGGAACTAGAGGTCCCATAAGGCATTGTAAGACTGGCAGCCACAGGCAAGGACTTCCAGAAACATATTGCATTATGCAGTTACACCACAGCTGGAGGGCCGAGGTTTGCCTACCCTTGGTGTAGATTTCCTTGTAATTCACACAAGGGTTTCGGGGCTGCTGCCAGGCGCACAAGTGATGTCATCGGCGGGAGAGCCGGCGTTTCTGACTGTATTGTAGAACCTCCGACACTCCTGGAAGGAGGCGCAGAGCTGCTCCCCTGTTTGCTGCACATTAAGAACATTTAAAAACTGGTCTCAACTATTGGCGTAGTGACCGGATCTCTTGTCTCCCAAATATATGGATGGTTCACTTTCCCAAGTGAATTTGGGAAAATGGAATTACCTGCTCAAATCTGCACGCCCCCCCCCCTTGTCTCTGTGGGCATAAGCACTGATGCTAGTATTGGTGCATCCCTAGCTCCCATCAATGTAAAAATGTAAGCACCTCAAATACTAATAGTCTGAAGCTCACTGAACCTTATATAAATTAAAAGGAGCACTAATCTATTTTAAATTGGTCTAATCCCATTTTTAGGATCTTTCTGCAGCTGCCCGTGTGATGATAATCTCTCATTGTCTTTTATGGGCTTGTAAACACTATAAGCTTGAACCAATTTACAATTCCAGCATTGTAAGCACTGGCTGCATCTCTGTACAACAAGCGTGTGCTTGCAGAGGACTGCTTTGACCTGTGGAAATAATAGTTTCTCTTTCTGGTTGTGTAATTTGCGATTTGTCGTCATATTCTTTTGTCATCCTGATCGCAACTGGAAAAAAAAAACAACTTTATTTGTATGTGAACTTAGTGCTTCCAGATTCGAGCCGATAATTACAAGATATTGCCCTATTTTTGAGCAGGGCTTGCGTTTGTTGGGCCGTTTTATCCACCTGGGCGGCAATAAGGAGTGCTCCCGCTGATTGATGGTACTGGTTGAACTGTTGTTTTCCAGTCCGGTCTCCTGCTGGTGGAGCATATATCTCCATAGAGCAGATGAAGCAATCAAAATACCCTCTAAGGCCTCATTCACGCGAGAAAAGGCCGGCGCGTACAGCTTTGTACTGCGTGCACGGCCGTATCGGGCAGCTCGCAGGAAGTACAGGTGCTGAGTGTGATTAGTACTCAGCCCCTGTCCTTCTCTATGGGACCACGTGGCCGTACGCCGCCCTACGCTCACTCGCCCTGCACGTCCGTGCGGGTGTCTGTACTCGTACGCTGATGGGATGCATCCTGTTTGCGTCCGGGACACCCGCACCCGTACGGACCTGCACGTAGGGTGGCATACGGCCGCATACTCCCATAGAAAAGGACAGGGGCTGCGTACTAATCACACCCAGCACCTGTCCTTCCCGGGAGCGGCCCGATACAGCCGTGCATGCAGCACGGATCTGTAGGGGCCGGCTGTTACCCCTGTGAATGAGAGCTAAAGGAGCAAAATTAGCCCTTCAGTTGCCTGTAGAGTAGTAGGATCTCTGCATGCTTATTGTTTCAAATGCAGGCGAGTGTCTTGACGACAATAGGCAAGGAGATAATCCGTGCGTCCTTGAAAGTACTCTAGCATCAGGACCTGCTGTAGTTCTTGTCTGGCTTCCAGAACGGTGATCCTTTTGACCCTTCTTTAATTTAAAAGTTTACCCCCTGGTCAGTAAAATTGATTGTGTGTACTGTATGACATGCTATAGCAGCGGAAGCACTCTTTATTGCTATCTACAACCCTTAAAAGGCTCAGCTATACAAATCAATGCATTACCATTGGTTACATGGCTACATGCCATATGGGCCACACTTGTTCTTTAGCAGCAAGATTAAACCTGTCATGAAAAAACTATAGTGGCTGCCATTGCCTATCTGCACACTTCATGTGTGCGGCAGCCTTCTTGTTTCTCTTAGGACACGCTTCTTCATTTCTTCATTCCATAATCTAGTTATCTTGTTTTGGAAGGAGGGGAGCGAGTTTCTGCATCCCTAGTGACTGTTCATGGGAGCTGATTCTTATTTGTCACAGACAGATGCTGGAAACTTATTCACTTCATAATTCATTGCAATGCGTCACCCATCATTGCATGGAAAAACGTAATGTCATTGAGGATTTGCCGGAGAAGACACTTAACATGCAATGCGTGATCTGAACGGTCCTAGAAGTATAGCAAATTCACTGCTTTAGCCTCAGCAGCACATAGCATGTCTTGTGGTCTCCACGTGCGGTCTGCAATTTGTTCTAGTGATCTGGCCAGTTAAAGAGCATTCCAGGCTAACAGTTAGCGATGCCAATACCGTTTTTTTGGTATCGAGTACCGATATTGTTTTTTGGTACTCGCCGATATCTTCTGGCAAATCGAAAGCCAGGGGCGGGTAATAACTCGCCACCCGGCTTCCTGATTGGCCAGCTTTCTGATTTGGCCAGAAAGCCGGCTCAATACTTCCTTGTCACCTGGTAACGGAGTATGGAGCTGGCCAATCAGGAAGCTGGGTGGCAAGTTATTATAATAATAATGTTTTATAATGGGCTGGAATGGTCACCCAACAGGATTCGGTCTAGTAGACCAAATTAGATGAAGGATTTATTGCACAGCAGTGATCACAAATTGTAATCTAGTCCAGCCTTGTAAGAGGTGAAATTCTCAGGGGCCACACGGGTGTTCTGTAAGCAGACCTTCATGTGAATAAAGGGACCACAAGAAATGGAAATACTTTATTGCACTCGTTAACATTCATGGATTAAAAATAAACAGAGATGGTGTCTTCTTTGGTAAATTCTCTGGCTTTTGTATGTTATATTTTAACCCGAAGTGTTTATAGCTGTTGTGGTTTCTTAATGCTGTCCGGACAAGATGAGGACAAGGAAACACCAGAGCCCCGTAGATTCTGGTTGGATGGACAAACATAATTGTGAGAATGGCACTCAGCTTACTTGTGAGGCCCAGGCAACGGCAGCCAAGAAGGGAACCGATGCCACTAATGGCATTGCCCAGCATGAACCTACGGAGAATGCCCTAAACGTCGACCTTAAGAAAGTCAACGGTAAAAAACAGAAGAGGAGACGAAGGTCTCCCAAGAACAAAGCTGTGATGCCCAAGGTGGACAGCGCCCTGTTTGGTCTGATGGCAGACACTGTGTGGCTTGATAAATATTTGTATGATGAGGCTGAATGTGACTATCATGCCAAGCTTGCAGCAGCGCAGGCCAAGGTGTTGGAGAATCGCCCGAATGTGAACGTGGCCTCAGTTAAGGAACGACGTTCTATGGATGTAGCAGCGAGAAAGAAGTCTACAGAGAACTGCGCCCACAGCACTACGATGGCTTGCCATCATGTTGACAATGGAGTCTGGGTTAACAAGTTTAGCTTTGATGATGCCGAGAGTCGGTTTATCATACAGTTTGCATCTCCTCTTGCCCCTCGAGCCCTCAATCTCAACCTGGTTTCCCATGAGCGTGCAGCCACTAGGTCCACACAGAGGACACCTGACGAAGGCTATTCTAGTGCAACGCCAACTCCAGCTGCCTGTGACCTGTTGACCGTTAATGAGGTCATTTCTGATCCAACAGTCAATGGAAAGCCACAATGGGCAACCGTACAGGACCTTTTGTCTGAAGTGTGGTTGGACAAATCCCAGTATGACCAAGCCGAACAATGCTTCTACGAGCATGCTGCTAATACACAGACAACCATGCTGACTCAATCGGACCTCAACTGGAGCATGCAATCCGGAAAAAAGGGGAAGCGGGACAGATACAATCGTAAGTCTGCCGGAAGGCAACAGCCGAAGAAAAAAGAGCTTGCCAGTATTCCAGAGGAGAGTGCCAACAGCGTGTATTACCCTGCGTACTTTCTCCACCGCGACAGCGAGAGCACGTGGCTTAATAAGACTGCATACGATATAGCTGAGGCGTGTTTCTACGCTGCTCAGGAAGTGTCGGTTACTGTTCAGTCCAGCAAATCCACTTCAACCAAATTGCCTCGGCCCATAAAACCCAAACATCAGGACAAGAAGTAGGAGTCTTATTACTTTTATTACAAATGTTTCTGCTTACTGTGTTCTAAATGCTGTGAACATATATAGTAGGGATGCTCCAACAAATCTGTTCCTGATGGGTAGTAATTCCATGTTCATTTGTCATGTACAGAGAAGAATGTAGCGATACTCCCGTGTGCGGTGCAGTAAATGTCTAGCACAGTGGTCCTTTAAAGCTATTTCTTGTGAATTACGACCTGCTGCTTGCCATAGTCCTGACGCTCCTGCAATGACGAGGTTCAGCACGCAGAACCTTCTCTTTGCATGGCAGAGCTTCTGTATGTAGACAGGCATTGGGTCCCGCGAACTGGAACACGCACCATTCTGCACCCGGCAATGTAGCTTTGGTACAGTTAGGCAGAGTGATCACTAGACCCAAGGTGCCTTCCTAGTTTGGCTAAGTAGAAAAATGGACACTGGCACTCCAATGGCAAATATGTCTATTGACGTACATGTGTCATAGCGAAATACACACTCTGCGTTTTGCTATGCAGCATGTACATCAATAAATAGACTTATTGGATTTGCCACTGCAGTGCCAAGGGCCCATCTTTCTACTTCAGTATTGAGGTGATAGCCAACCGTTGACAGCTGTTGCACCCACTTTTTTGAGGGAACAGCGGTTCTGAGTGCGATGGGTATATGGATTGTTTGCTAGTTTGGCTCCGACGTCGCCCATCCATTAGAGGAGCAGCGTGGGACGTGCTGTTTAAGATAAGGTCAGTAACCTGTGAAAAATAATTCTGGTGGATTTCTTAATTCCACTGCCACCAGTGACGGAAAATGACGCACATTATAAACCATGTCTATTGCTTTAAGTTCTTCACCTGGCCAAGTAAGACGTTTATCCTGGAGTTGTGTGCTTCAATCTCGTCAATGTAGCCAATGATTATGGTAAAAAGTTGTCTTTTGTAGAACAGAGAATTGGTGACCATAGGTTGAAGAGTCCCCCGTCCCCACCCCGCACAGCTTGCTTCTGGTAACGTGCTTGTTACTGTATTTGTAGGGGGCCCAAGTCAAAAGCAATGCTTAGATCTGTTTCCTTCATGGATGACGACTACGTATGGCCACGCTTGGTAGAGCAGACCTCAGCCAGATACCTAAGGGCTCGTTCACACAAGATCCAGATCGGATCTGGACAAGTTTCTGCACGTGCAGTGCGTTTTTGACGCGTTCCATGGCATTTCTTTTTAGCTTAAAATGGGCTTTTCATGTGTGGTCCAGAGCATTTGCATTCAGTTTTGTGTTTTACATGCTTGTTGCTGCCTTGCACAGCAGAAATATTTGACCATGCAGCATCTTTTCCCCCTTGCTCTGCAACTGACTGCACTGGTGTGAACAGAGCCCAGAAATACCATAGGAATACATTGGGATGCATTTCAGGGGCAGACAAAAAATGCTCTGCAATTGGTGTGAACTAGCCCTCAAGGTGTCTTCAGTCAGCAGAAAAGCCAGTCCTGTCTGAAATTAAAGACTAAGTGAAGCCAAAACTTTCTAAAGTCTTAAATACTTAAGTAAAAAAAAACTGACGACAGGTCAGGGAATGAGGTGGGCACGCCTCACAGGGACAGAATAATACTAACCTCTAATCATTCCACATTTTACGGAAATACTTTTGTAGCCATCTATGTTCCTGTTAGAGAGTTCCCATCACTTCCTGTCCAGACAGGAAGTTAGGGAAAATGCCGCCCCAATGACCCTATTGGTTCCAATCCCTTCCTGTCCAGACAGGAAGTTAAGGAAAATGTTGTCTCCCCCCCCCCCTCCCCCCCATTGAGGACACAGACTGATTAAAACCTCACTAGGGTTCTAATCCGTCCCCAATTGCTAAAAAAAAAACCCTATATTGAATTTCACTTTTGCTATATAGACCTTGACATCCTGACTTGGGGTAGAATTTACAGCTGTGCCCACCCACCAACCCACAAGTGCCTTCTTGGCTGGGGAACTGATGCCTGGGGTGAGGCTTTTGCTCCAAGGTGAGGAAGTAGTCTACCCATTGACATGTCTCCTGAGATCAATGCTGCTACTTCAGATTCCTCCGTGTTCAACTTCAGAGGCGAGAGCGGCTCAGAGATTTTAGAAGTTTGGAAATCTGTGTCTGATGCGGTTCTGACAGGTAGAAGTGCTTTTTGACCCCGCAATGTCAGTGTAAGGAGTGATTGGAAGACACCCAGTTCTGGTATCGGGAGCATTTTGGGCGAGTGAGTAAAATTCTCATTATCGGCGCATCCCTACTGTTTATTGATTGGCCCAGTGCTATCACTTGCTGGCAGAGAGGGTCTGTGACTTCTATGACTGGAAGCTTACATTGGGTTGTAGTTCCTCACTTCTGGTGACTGAACAAGCAGCGGGGGAGCAAGTAATAAAACATTGCAGGTAGGCAACGAGTGCGTCTAAGGGCGATGCACAGGTACCTGCTCAGTTGCACATTATTCCTTTGTAAACGTGTTTCTCTTTCTGTGCAGTTGGGGTATTTATTGGAGAATCTCGGTGAGGGAGACCTCTAGACAGAGATGATCCATCTGTGCTCATACAGGGCTTGTTCTTTCTACCTATAGCTCGCTGTTTTTAGTTATAAGGTGGGTTTGGGGTTGGTAGAGATGTTAAAGTGACATTAAACCCTCAGATTTTTTAACATAAAACAATAGTGTAATGTGCACCTTACTGTAATCCATGGTTGTTTCCCTTCTCTTTGCTGCTCTTCCTTTTTAAATCTATCTGTTCTCATGCTGGGGGAGAACTTCTGTTCTGCAGCAGACTGCCTTGTCTCTGGAATAGCTACATGGTGTCTGTGTAGGTTCACAACCTGAGCCAGCACTACAGGAAGAGGCACTCAGCTGCAAAGGGAAGTTCTCCCCCAGCATGAGAAGAGATGAGGATTTAAAAGGAAGAGCAGCAAAGAGAAGGGAAACAACCATGGATTACAGTAAGGCGCACATTACAGTATTAGTTTATGTTTAAATGTCACTTTAAGCAGATGCATATTTTTTTTTTTTCTAACATGTCCAATTTAAACTACCCGTGTTGAATACTAAACCATTGATGTTCTGTATCACCAGAAAAATGGCAGCTTCTTGCTTGAGCACAGAGAATATCTGGTTTGACAAATGCAAATATGACGATGCAGAGAGACAGTATTATGAAGACCTCAGCAAGGCTGGAACCAACGCTCACATCCAGCCACAGGTGAGTGGGGGAGGGAAAGGGCCGGGGTCCGATCCCTAAATCCTTTATCTTTTGTCTAGTCGCTGCATCTCCGCATCATCTGTGCCTGAATACAATGATCTTCCAGCCACTTCTCTCTGGTGGCTGCCAAGTCTTGTCTGTTTACTGTTCCTCCCAGTTGGAGGTTTCCATTTTATCTTTTGTAACGTGTTTTGTGTTGCTTCCCTGGGTGCTTTGTCTTTTTTTTTTTTTTGTTGCTTTCCTTGCATCTGGCTGGGTCTCTCTCGCTCCAAATGATGCCACTTCTGAGGTTCCTTTTCTGACTGAAGGTATCCAAGTGGAACAGAATTATTTTCTGAAGAGATGTGTGCCATTTAGTTAGAACTAGTTCACCTTAAAGGGTAAGTCCACTTTTCCAAGTGAATTTGGGAACATGGAATTCAATGTTCAATCTGGCCCCCTCTCTTCCCCTTGTCATACTTTTTGCAGCAAAGGCTCCTTTCCCTCCGCCAGTACGGGTGTTGCCGTGTAGCGCAGCCCTGTGCTATGGATTTTGAATTTAGCTTGCCAATGGCAAGCACTCATTGGTCAGAAGTGCTTGTCATTGGTCAGCACGGTCATGTGATTGTGCTGACCAAGCAGTGCTTGCCATTTGCAAGAGAAATCCAAAATCTATAGCGCGGGGCTGCGCTACACAGCCGCACTGGGTACAGATGGCAAACCCATACTGATGGAGGGAAAGGAGCATTCGCCGAAAGGTAAGTAAAGCGGGGGTGGTGATAGAGGAGGAGGAGAGTCGTGGATGAGGGGGCCAGATTGGAGGGGGGGGTAACTCCATTCTCCCAAATTCACTTGGGAAAGTCGGCTTGCCCATTTAAACTAATATTCTCCTTTTGGGCATATAGCAGCGGGTGGGTGCACCCAGAGGAGTTTGCAGTATAAAAGGGTCTCCTGCACTTCCAGCTAGTAGGATTTAAGTGCATGCAAAGCCAAACATTTATTTTTAGTTTTTATTGCTGCGTGAGACCCCGAGGGGGAGATTCACCTTTTCAATTTGTCCAGTATCCAAATCCAAAATTGTACAGTTGTCACTGAAACGAAGCGGAAGTCTTCCAATGGGGACCAACTTCCATGACAACGAATGCTTCTGTTTGTGTACCCGGGACAGGAAGTAAAGGAATGGATCAGCAACGGCACATAAAAAACATTTGTGGGTGTTTTGAAGAGTTCACCTTTTCACAAAAAATGGAAAGGTGAAGCAGCTTGCCCAAGCCCCATCTCCCGCATCCCCCCCCCAAGCTGCCCCCTTCCCGGCTGCATTTAGCTTTACTACAGTCTTTGTGGCATCATAATGTTGGCAGTGGAGAGCAGTCATTGGTCAGCACGGTCGTGTGATCTCACTGACCAATGAGAATCCCTTCTGCGCCCAGCGTTGGTCTTTCATTTTATTTGTCCCTTTTATTTAAAGTATATCCAACGCCGAAACCTTTCATTATGTATAGCGTAGGAAGTTTTTTTTTTTTCTATTTCAATAGAGCAATTTCCTTTTACTTCCTGTACTGTAGACCCAACAGGAAGTGAGGATGTCTGTCCAATGTGAGAACTCTTTAGACAGTTGTCACATTATCAAGTGTCCCCCTTGTAAGATTTCCCAGCAATTCCTGTTGGGTTGGCAACTCAGAATTTTTGGATTTGCCCCTCGCTTTCATTCTTTAACATTGGTAATCAGGACAATTCGAGTGAATCTCCCCAATGGGCACACGGGCAGCAATAAAAACTCGATCATGGTCCTGTCCTCCACGTCTAAACGTTTTGACTTTCAGTTATACATGAAATTCAATATAAAGGGCCAGTTCACACCAGCGGTGGAGCGTTATGATCCATATAATGCACGTGCCGGGGTGTGTTGTGTAGGGGAGGTGCAGTATGCATTTTTTTTTCCTTTATTGCAATGTGGCAAAATGACACGTCAACCCTTTGCACAACAGCACATTGGCGTGGTGATGTATTGGCAGGATC